CTCTAATTTCATTTATACTATATATTCTAGTAGAAATCGAATGTGTTAGCTTTCAAACCGCTTCTCTCACCTACACTGGATTTCACTCTCAGCCTAGTTTTCATAGGCACCCAAAAGGGTGGTATATTCGTGAATTATGAGAGAGCGAATACACTTAGGAAACACGACTCTATCACTGCCTGATCACGTGACAGTCGTGATTTTTTATCGTTTGATACGTTTTCGGGACTACCAGTATACCTGAAATAAGAGCTGTATTGTATCAGATCTATTGGCATTCTGGAATATTTATGAAACAAAAAATAAGTATTCATTCGATTAATATAGCAAATACAACTTCGCTTAGTCGGCTTAGTCTAGGCTTCTTTGAGGCTCACTTCGGCTCTGTGACCCAGGGCCACTCGTGGCAGTTTGACGTAGTTGCTAACGTGTTGAGGCTATACGCTAAACTACCTGGGTTCGAGTCCCACTAGAATGTGCTGATGGGACCTACCGAGGTCGAAATTGCGGTTCGTCCTAGATGAGAGTACCTTTTGGGAAGCAGGGCTATGTGAAATTGAATGAAAACTTGCGGATAATATCATTGTGCGAGAATTCAACTACCGGTCCTTCATTTTTTGGACAAAATAAGTTTTTTCCAACTAATATTTCTGAAAGATTATTTTAAATCATAGGGCAACCACATGCTAGCTTCTAAATTGATACATTATTATATTTTGAGTTAGAAATAGAGTAGTCTTAAGCTATTTTCGATGTATATCAATAAATACTTTTGTATTATATTGATAGCGCTGTTACTGAACTTATAGTTAGCCGTAGTTGATAGTTAGCTACCAATATTAAAAAATAATTAATGAATATTTTAGTATTTCTTTGATAAGATTAAGTTTAATCCAGTAGCAGGATTAACTAGAATTTTTCCTAATCCATTACATACATCTCGAGGTACTTATTCAATTCTCACCTTAATTAGAATTGTTTCTCGCATGTTTCTTGTTAATCGATCATTTAAGTTAAAAATCTGCCTTATATATCTTATAATATAAATCCTTATATATAGTTAGGCTTGGAGGATTTCACTAGTTCGTGAGTAAGAACCTCACCAACAAAGGTAGCTTACGCTGTGTCCAGAATTGGTAACTGGTTTTGCTTACAATCACATAAGTAGGCCTCATGATATTATTGAATTCCATTTAGCTTTGCTTTCCTAAGGGACATCTTTACCAGAGTATATTGCAATTTCGACATAGCTTAGGTCTTATCGGTGTGGGAATCAAGCCAGAATCGAATAGATTATATCATAATTCTCAGATAGCTTTAATATGGCCGTTTATACTTTCTTTATTTTAGTTTATATTTTTAATGACTTTTGAGTTAATCCAGATCATTCAATTCTTACTTTAGATGCATCTGTGCTCAGTCAGAATGTCCTGGTTATTGGTCACCGGGGGATGGTGTATTTACCAACAAAGCATTCCACACAAATGTTTCAAGCCGTGCTACCATTTGCTTAAGAGACAACAGAATGCTACCTGCAGTCATATAACTATTTAAGCATAACTTGGCCTACGACAATCAAGAAATTTTATTACCACCACCCCCTGACTTAGACCGGACTTGACATTAAGACGATTTGCTGAAATAGCAGAAACTTATTTGACAATCAATAAAAACTGTAGCACCGGAGCAACTAGACTTGACATATATTATATTTGATCCATCTATTTTCAGTACGGTCTTTCTGATTTACTCAATACCAAAATTTTCCTTCTTCACAGTTTTAGGTATGTAAATAGGATCGTCATACAGGAAATACTTGCTAAGAAAATTTTTTTATAAAGGTAAAAGAAACTGATGGAAGCGTTTAAATAGGATTCAAAGTATCGTGAGCGAATTTATCTACTAAAAACGAAGATTTATATTTTATGCATGAAAATGTTAAGGCCATCATGCAAATTCTAATATTTAGAAAATTATTCAAGTCATTAGGGAAGAATTAAGGGGATTTTAAGTTACGAGATTTATTCTCAAATTTTTCTGACTATCTCATCAGAATAAAAGTTATCATATATTCCTTAAATAATGTAAATCACAATTACTGAGTTTCTTTAAATGCAGTGAGTTGAAGGTCTCATCAAATTCTACTTAGCCTTATTTAAATAAAGGCTTTTTTTTCAAAATTGGATAACAGTTTTTTACTTAGGGTCTCTTTTTTAGAGATAAGATGATATTTGACATGTTATGTAAAGGTTTGAGGACAATTGTAAAATAAGTGCTCTATGTTATAGCCCCATAAGTTAATTCAGACTATTCAATGCTACTTGGGAAGTGATTAAAAACGTGATAGGGTAAAATCTCGATCTCGCGTCCCATTTTGTGAGTAAGGGGGTTAATTAATAGCAATCCAAGATATGAAGACCAGGATGGTGTGGCCTTTTATATGGTCGCGGTCTCCTTTAGAAGTATAGTAGTTGTTTGACCTTGTTTTCGCAACTTCCTCATATTGACAGGAAGTTCTAGAGGAACGCATCTTATCCGGAGTTTATATTATGCACGATCATTTCCAGAGTCGGACCGTAGACTTGGTACATTCCCAGAAGTTTCGCCACATCGTCAATGAGCCTTGCCATTCTTAGCACCACACTACAACTCGCCTAAGAGACAAATGAAGTCGATACATTGACCAATTGTCTGCTAAGCACTTGTAGTATCTCTCCTATCTAGGGCTATTCATCTATCCTATTTCCTCGTATCACCCCTTCACTATCACAATTTCTTACTTGTTCATATCAACCTATTTGAAACCTATTCACACTCCCCGCTGTTTTCAACATCTCTTCCACTGTGCCTGGATTGTTGATCCAAGGCTGCGGTTTAATCCACAATCCTCTCCCTTTGGGTCCTATCAGAGTCCCTCTCTTGCTCCTTAGGATCATTTCCTTATCCGCCTGTTTCAGTGATTTCACTCCATCACTGTCACCGTTTCCATGCTACTCAAGGCGTTATGTATTAAACTTTTGATAGCACATATACACCAGACTCCACGGACCGACTGTGGAAATTATCATGCATACTATTGACTTGGGACAAGGTGCGTTCCTCTAGGTCTTCCTGCCAATATGAACAAGTTACGAAGACAAGGATAAATAACTTCCAAATATTTGCAGGCTCAATCTTCACATTATTAAGGCAGATGCGATTAGCTTGATTTATTTATTCTTACTCTTGCATTCATTGTTTTAAACTTGCGACTCGGTTATGGTGGAATACTTGAGAGTGAAGCGTATGATACATTCATCAAATTTTTCCCCTGTCTTATCTTTATTGTATCATCCTACAATTTTATTCAAGCTATGCTATTGACAAGCTATCTCAGAATAGCTTACGCAATTTAACCTTCTCTTTTTATTCTAATCAATGTGAATAAGTATTTTATGAATTTAGAGAAGCTCGGAATCTATAAAATCATTGCTTTCCAGCAAATAAACCAAGTTTTTAATTGAATAGTGTATGCTGTTAAAAAGTAGACACGAAAATATAATGGGTTCGATAAATCTCTTGAGATAACATTGTTTGGGGGACTTTCATTTAGTAAATTCGCACTTTTATACGAAATGAAAGTCTCCCCAACAATGTTAAAAAGTAGATTAGACAAACTTTTGAGTTAACTGTTGCTTCTTATTGACGCATTCATTAGAATTTATCAAACCCACATCAACAATGTTGCTCATATGAAATAGCAGGTTGCTTCAAAATCACTAGTTAAACTTGAATAAGAGAGTAAATCACCTTGGTTATCATCTATCAGTCGTGCAACTTCCTATTCTAACTAAATAAATAAGAAGTAGA